AAATAACAGCTTCACGACTCCATCTCTGTTAAAAAGGATATTTTTCCAATCAGCGAAGAAGGCTGATGAAGGCTTCTTACCGAATGCTGTTGGCAAATTCAGCAGCCTCCTTCAAATCTTCGTGAATTAGTTTTTCGTAGTATAATATTTGTCAGTGCTGGTAATCCCTACTTTTGTTGGAAGAAGTAACGCATCAAAAGGTCACATTCTTTAAGTTGTCATTAGGTTCTCAGGAGACCCCTTTGGCAAGTCTACTAGAGCAGCACACCTCGCACAAAGCATGCAATTTGTTGTGCTCTTATTCCAGAAAATATCCAGTAATGATCATTCCACAGATGGAACGAGGCGGTCGTGACTCTTGCTTCGTCACTCGTTAAAGGCAGAATTGCGATGAACATGCAACCCATTTCAAATTAAGTTAGGGATGGTGGGTCGTACAAGAAATAAGGAAAAATCACGAGAAGTGGCCCAGAACGATTGCGCGTTGATGTGGCTCTCATCTTTGTGCTCTCCTCTCTACGCTCTCTCTCTCTGCTATTTAAGCGTTAGCCGCGTATAGACCTGTGGCTAGTGATTAGAAAGGGATGTCCCATAATTCCTGAAGTTTCAACACTTTTTCTCCTAGAGCTTCCTATTTCTCGAGAACCAATTCATCGGAAATATAAGCATTGCCATAAGTCACTGATATGCATCCATTTGCAGGGAAAACATTGGGAATGAGTAAAGCTATGACTTGAAGGATTGGTCAAGGTCGATCTAGGGTGCAGGGTGGCTTTTTTCTCTCGCTGCTGCTGCTTCAAGGCACTGTGAAGGGGATAGTCCGATGGAGTAATGCCAGGGCTATATGATAGATATGGTAAATTGGTCCAGCCTAGTTTCCTCAGAAAGTGGCGAGTTATCTTTGCAATGTGAGGTCGGGCGTTCATCTGGAGAAAAGGGATTTCTAGACGTTCAGGACGTTTTCTCGCACTGCTGCGGCCAACCCTGGTAGCTGTTCCACGATGGCAATCGCAACCCTTGTCTACATATGGCGAAACGTGGAGCATGTTGTTGTCACTGTGACTGTCGTGACTCATCTTCATCGGTGATCGAATTGCCAAAGTCTCGTCAAACAATAATCGGCAGCAGGAGAAGACTTCTGGAGATGGTCACATGTGCTTCTCGGTCATGGTCGGTCGGTGCATGCAGTTTCCATCGAGGCTTCTTCTTTCTGCTGCAGCCTGTTTCCATTCAGATGGCGAGCGATGGTGCATCGCGTTTGTTCAGGTGCGTGCAACAAATCCTTGGTAGTAGCGCCCGTGTGCACTTCCAATTCATGACTCGCCGCTAAACTTACACGGGAAAAAACGGCGGACGAGTTTCCGGACGAGTTTTTCGCGCCAATACTGTTTGAATTCTAGGTGGACCGTGCATTTCGTTGTGATGAGGCGTACTGTCCTCTCAATATCAATCGATCGGGGATCATACTTCAGAGTTTGTGCACAGAATGAATGGGAAGACCCAGGGTCAAGCGTGCGTTGAGGAATCCTCGACACGTCACGAGGGGGGGGGGAGATCGGGCCAGAGTCCTTTCTTTGCTGCAGGAGGAACACCGCTGGTTTTACCGTACGTGAATGAAAGAATAGCAAAGAAAGTGAACCATGTCATCAAGTCGTCAGGTCTTCCAGTCAAATTGGTATTTCGACCACCTGCGAACCTAAAAAGCTTGCTGACATCATCACGAATTTATGAAGAACGATGTGGCCGGAGTAACTGTACGTACTGCGTCGACAATAAAATTCTGTCAGCTACGTGGTACAGTGTATTTGGTCACATGCGATGGATGCGGTCAGAAATACGTTGGTGAGACGAAACGCCCGCTGCATATACGGATGGAGGACATGCACGAGCGCTGCGGAATTCATCTTCTT